CAGAATTTAAAAGAAAAAGAACAATTGAAATGAGGATTCTGCATGGGAAAGCAGAAAATTTTTTCCTGTGCAGGCAAGTTGCTGGTCATGAAAGCCCCATATTGTGATTAAACCAAAATGATTGCTCAGCTTGATCCTATACAAATATAATTTTGGAGTCAAGTAAAATGTTTTGAAGTTTGTCATTGTTTGCTTGATAGGTTATTGCTGGTTAGTGGAGAAGCAGTCGCTACAATAAGTCGAGTGCTGCCATGAATGTTTGCATGATTTGCTTTTAGTTGTGCCTGCCCCTTTCTGATGCAATATTTTTCCCCCTTCCCAAATGCAGGGCTTCAGATAACAGGGAGCGTGCTTATGAACATAGTGCCTATGGACACCATGAGCGGGGGACGGGCGGATTTGATCGGACGAGACATTACGATCAGGATTACTATAGAGACCCTCGGGAGCGGACCTTACAACACGGGCTCTATTACACTTCTCGGAGCCGAAGTCCAAACCGCTTTGACGCTCACGACCCCCGCTACGAACCTAGGGCCCGGGAGCAGTTTACATTGCCCAGTGTGGTACACAGGGATATCTACAGGGATGACATTACACGGGAGGTACGAGGCAGAAGGCCGGAGCGGAACTACCAGCACAGCCGGAGCCGCTCGCCGCACTCGTCGCAGTCCAGGACGCAGTCCCCGCAGCGCCTGGCCAGCCAGGCCGCCCGGCCCGCCCGCTCCCCCAGCGGCAGCGGCTCCCGGAGCAGATCGTCCAGCAGCGACTCCCTCAGCAGCAGCAGCAGTACCAGCAGCGACAGGTAGGTCCCTGTGCCGTGGGCTGTGCGGGTCGTTGCCGAGGTGTGAGCCCAAGGAGTTGTTCCGTGGCGAAGCTTTGGTCGTTGAGGTAAAAGTGAACTGCAGTGAAATGTCAAAAGGCTCAGCTGGCACCGAGGGTTCCAAGGGGAACGCTGGTGCTGTTGTTTTGTCATTTTCCATGGTGGATCCATGCAGCATCTGTAAGATGGTGGCTGGGCAGAGCAGGGATGTATGGACACATCATGCCTGGTGAACAGGGTCACTTTTATTTGCTTCAGTGAGAGAAAAAGCAAATGTTAAGGTCAGCTGCTTTTTACAGACCACACTTCAGCATAGTTTGGGAAATGATGAGTGGTATTGTTCTGTTTCTTCTTGTTCCCTGACACTGCTGACATTCATGAGGTTGATTTGTCGCCTTCCCATTTCTCGCCCTGCTGCCTCACAGCAAAATTTGCAGACTTGGAAGAATTGAAAGAAAATAATCCAAGTTTGCGATTCCTGGGGATGCGAGTCCTTAGTTCTGCAAGAGCTCTGTATTTGCATGCTTTACAAAATACCTATGGGCGAGAAAAGAAGGTGTTAGAAAATGACTGATTTCTTTTAACAGTTTTTAAATTCATATTGAAGTGCCTCTCTGATATTTGGCTTTTTAAGATTAAATTCACCCTAAGAGTGGAAGCCACAAAGCTATGGTTGCACCCATAAATGTTTTATGCTCTTTGGCCAAGAGCTCTGCTCTTCTGGAGGGTTTGCAGAGTTGGCAGCGTTTCCTTTGCATACCAGGTCTTTTCTAAAACTGAAAATATTCATTAAGTAAATAAGTGAATCAGTAGAGTGTTCGATTTCGCAAAGGCCTGGAGTGACAGGACAAGGGGGAATGGCTTGCACTGCCAGAGGGCCGGGTTAGATGGGATTTGGGGAAGGCATTCCTCCCTGGGAGGGTGGGCAGGCCCTGGCACAGGTGCCCAGAGCAGCTGTGGCTGCCCCTGGATCCCTGGAGGTGCCCAAGGCCAGGCTGGACAGGGCTTGGAGCAGCCTGGGACAGTGGAAGGTGTCCCTGCCCGTGGGATTATTGGCAGGGGTGGAATTAGGTGAACTTTAAGGTCCCTCCCAACCCGTTCTAGGATCCTGTGTTTTATCACTGTGAATAGAATTTTACCACTGTCAGAACTCTGTGACCAAGAGAATTATTCTCACAAAGTCTTACCTTGAATGTTGAACCTTCTGGAAGGGTGAGCTGGGCTGACACCCACGGAGAGTGTACGGAAGATGAGGAAATCAGTGTCTCCTCTTCTGATTGCCCCACCCCCTCATGTCTAAAGAATCATGCAAAGGTTTATTTACTTCTTTTAATTACTGTTTTCTCTTCTTGGATTTAGAAATCCAGGTCCTGTCTCGGTTAGAGAGCAGGTGAAGATTTAAGACAACTTTTAGGTTGCTTTTAAGCACTTGTTTATTTACAGCATCTCTCTCAATGAGAGTTTAATGCTTGAATAAAGACAATCCTTTGTCAAAGATTTTTCACAGTTATTACAGCCCAGAAAAAGCTGTGAGACTTCCAGAGGTTTAAAAAAAATCATAGAGAAAATGGATTGAAAGGAGGGCTGGTTACATTTAAGTTTTAATAAAAAAAATATTGAGCAGGGGAAGAAGAAAAAATCTCTACTGGTGCTCCTCTGCTCCTTGTGGAATGAGAAAGGCGTCCAAGAAACTCGTAATATTTATAAAATGTCATTGTTGGGATGTCGAGGCAGGATGAAATCCTGTTCTGAATTTGAGAGGACTAAATATGATCCCATTGGAACCAAGTTTTAAGATTTAATGAGAAGAAAAGCAGCATCTGCTGTGCTTGAGCATTTCATTTTCTTGGCAATTTCTAGTTGTAGTAATGGAAAAGTAGACTATACTCTGGGAGGAAATAAAACATTTTTTTCTTATTAATACAATAAAATCAAACTCAGTCAAGCAAGTAATGGAATCTGGTGGATTGTATATTTAATTTTGAAGGATCAGAAAAGAGTTTTACATGTTTCTTAGCAATCAGTTAGATAATAATAAACATTTAACCCTCTCTTTACTTTGGGAAGCAAAACCCCACCGGGCCTTGAAATCTTTCAAAGCAGAAGTGTTTAATTTTCAACACAGTTGAAATTTAGCCATGTAAATATTAAGCCCCTCATAGACTGTTGGTGAGCAAAAGCTGCCTCACCCCCTTTTCCGTGGTTCGGTGCTCCCACTTGCTGTGTAATATATCCAGTTTCTTTTGTCTGGAGAATAATTATTCCTGCAATTTCCGTGGTCTCTAGGATTTTAGCAAGCTGGAGATTCTCTTACAGTTTTTTTATAAGTGGAAATGGCCAATTTTGAGGGGCCATGGTTATTATTAAGGTCTTTATGACACTGCATTCTTCTGAAATTTAAGAGCGTGGTCACTCGAGTCTGGCCCTGTTGGTCTCAGCTGGCAGAGTTGTGTTCCCTGCCCTGGGGGTGTTTGGGGCACACGGTGGGTGTTCAGCACTCATGGGAACTTTGTGCTGGGTACTGTCCTTCAGAAGCTGTGAAAAAGCAGTAAGGTGGTGAAGGAGGAGTTTGGGTTTCCTTGCTTGTGGTTTTCAAGACCTGTGTGAAGTAAATAACACTGATTAAATGGAGCTGATTTTCCTGGTCAATACTGAAGAAACACTGCTTGCTTAAAAATTAAAAAACAACCTGAAAAAGCCTTTATCTCATAAAGGTTCAGAGTTTGTGTTGGGTCTCCACTAAACTTTGCTTTAAATTGCTATTTGGAGGCCTTTGCAGGTAATGGTGCTGCAAGGGAGTGATTTAGAAACTAAAACCGGAAAGAGCACATTAAAAATAACCAGTATTCTCTGAAGCCAGGCTTTATTTGGGGTGTTTTGTGGCCTCTCAGAAGTCGCCTGCTGAGCTGAGGAAGCTCGTGGATGTGGATGGTTCCTGCGTGGATTTGAGGATGAATTTGTGTTTTGAAGTCTTCTTAGTGTGAGATTGCTCATTCCCCACCCATACAGTGGAAAAGGGTTGGTGGAATTTTTTTATCACCTTGAAAGTATAAAAAAGCCCTTGAAAATGGTAATTTGCCACCACCAGAAGCTTCATTGTCTCCGTTCTGGTGATTCAGACATGCACCACAAATAATACATTAGCAAACATATTTTTGTACTGTGTCATGGAAGAAGCTGGCTCTGGATGGAAGCTGGGTGATCCCATAGGAAGCAAACAACATTTTGTTTGTGCCCTACGCAACCTTTTGGAAAGATCCCCCCTGCTTTTAGGTTTTTTTTTTCTTTTGTAGCAAAAGCTCTCTTCTAGGCTGCTTGTTGAGGTGCTCTAATGTGCTAAAAATAATTTCTGGGCTTTTTGATTCAGTGTTGTAACGTCAAATGGCCTGACAATGTCTCTTGCTGTCCATGTGTTAGTGATTATTCTTAAAGCTTTGCTGCAGCAGCGTGCTGAACCACCCAGCACTGAGAGTGGAGCATTTTGCTCCTAAAATCCTTGTTGGGATGGGGTTTGAATTCATTTACAAAAACCCAGGCAGAAATGTTTGATTTCCTGTAGGTGATGTTCAGGCTGTGAAAGTGTGAACACTCCATGTGTTCCATCTGCAGATAAGCGACCTGAGGTTTCCTTTGGCCTTTAATTTATTTTTTAAGAATGTTTATTCTGCTGTCTGATGTGGAGGATGCTGGGGGATTTGCCAGTTAAATGAATAATTTCCTATAATGTGTAATGTAGTCACCTTTAATTTATTTTTAAGAGTGTTTATTTGGTTGTCTCATCTCCAGGATGCTGGAGTTGGATGAATGATTACTAAGATGACTATTTCTCTATAGCTTGTAATATGAAATAGATATTGGGAAATTAAAAGAGCATTTTCAGCTTAGATACAACACTGGTTTTATATTCACCAAGATCTATATGAGCACAGTTATTCCAGTCTTCCTGAAATAAAGAAATGGGAAGAAGTTCTCTTACAGAGATTTGAAAAGGGATTTTTTTTTTTTGTAATTCTGATAAATGTATTTAAAGTTCTCGTGACAAGTGGGCAAGGCATAAGGTAATTAGAGATTGGTTTTAATTTTAGATTTTTCTGTGATGAAATTATTTCTGGAGCAAGGAATTACCATTGGACTGGAATATGTATGTGTCTTAATATTGAAATAAACTGATGAAAAACACTGCCAAGAGAATTTTAATCATGGGAAAAACAGGCTCCCTGAAACCTCCTGGTTATTTTATGTAGTCAGGGACTTTCCTACCCTGTTTGAACAACTGAAATGAAAGTAGAAAAAAAAAGAGTTTTAGTTTCATTACATAATGCAAACCTTTCTCTACCATTGTCTTAATCTCCTCCTTCCTGTGTTGTTTGCTGCCAGAAGTGATGAATCACTGATTTAGCTGGGATTTGGGATTTTGAGGGGGTTTGGAGATGCCTGTGCTGAGGACTGATGAAAAATCAGGAACAATGAGGTTAAATGTAGCTGTTTGGTCTTTATTGAAGCATCTGTGAGATGGCTTTTCTCGAGGTTAAATAATTCCACGTACATTTGGTACAGTTAATTACTGAAAAATTGTAATCACTTCTAGTAGAACAACAGGGTTGAGCAGGCTCGTGTTTGTATGGGAAAAGAATTAGGCTAAGATTTATAAAAGAAAATTAAAATAATTTCTTAGAATGAGAGGCCTTTTCCATTACACAAAGGCAACAGTAAATCCTGTCAGAGTCAGGTGAAACACCTCATCCTTACCTTTTGTTCACATAAACCCATGTGCTGCTTTAATGTTCTCTCTGCACGGTAAAATGTGAAATTAGGGAAAGGAAAATTTAGAAAAAAAACTCCACCTCAGATACTCGCAGGTTTTTGTTAACAACTGTCGAGCGTTTTCACTTTGTTCTTCCTTGTGTTTCTGCTCGTGTCAGCCGGTGCTGCTGCTCAGCTAAATATAACCGAGACCATCCTTTAAACGTGGCTTCTTTTACCCTTGGGACTGTATCGGGTTTCTTGAGATAGAGCAGAGGCAGAACGTTTTCAGATGGCTTTGGAGAGATTATAACACAGAAAGCAAACCTTTATGCTCGAGATATGCCGAAAAAGACGTACCTGTGCATGTGTAACCACATAAACAGATCCTTCTGTGGAAAAAAAAAAATAACGTGATATATTTAAGTTCTCCTCACGGATGGTGAAGAAAAAAAAACCGTGATATATTTAAGTACTCCTCACGGATGGTGAAGAAGTGGTGCCTCAGCGCCCTTGGCAGGGAGCGGTCGCAGCCCGCTTGTCCCTCAGCCTCTCGCCCCAGCTGCTGACAGCCCGCGTTACCTCAGCCCCGGACCCGGCAACAATCTATTAAAAATGTGCGTTGCATAATAAGATTTTTTTATCTCGCTGCGAAACCCCGCCGCTTTCTCTCGCCTCACGGCCGGCGGAGCGCGCCCGCCGCTGTAATGGCGGCGCGGCCGCGGAGTCGCCTGACCCGGCTGTTTCTGGGGGGCGGGGAGAGCGGGTGTTCCTGAGGGAAACGCGGGTGTTCCTGAGGGAAACGCGAGTGTTCCTGAGGGAAAAGCGGGTGTTCCTGAGGGAAAAGTGGGTGTTTCTGGAGGAAAGCGGGAGTTTCGCGGCCGCGCTGCCCCGGCGGGCGGGGGGCGGTTGTTTGCGCTGAGAACCGGTCTGAGCCGGCGGGAGCCGGCCGGGGCTGCCGCGCCGCCCCCGGGGCGGGGCCGCCCGAGCCCCGCGGAAAAAACATCGCCATTGCCACAAAAAACCTTCCAAATGAAAAAGAAAATACATAGAATCCCTCCCCAACCTTAGCGCTGGAGCAGCTCTCGCTCCTGCGTGGAGGTTTTCCCCTCAGACCGCTCAGACAAATCAAGTAGTGCCTGTGTCAGAGCTGGCTCTGAGGGGGGAGAACCACCCTCTCTCCCTCTCAACCTATTTTAGGTTGTTTATTTATTTGTTTTAAACCTTAAATGCTCTGCTCGCTCTAGAAGTTAAGCGCTAGTTTCCTCGCTGGAGGAATCAGCCCCCAAAATGCCCCAAAAGGGCGATTTTGGAGCCTGCCCCAACATCCAAATATCACCTTGCCGTGATTTGACACAGTTTCCAAAATTAAATAGAAATTTTATCTTTGTTGGCCCCTCTGGGAGAACCCACCCCTTACATATGAATAGAAAATAAAATACTTTAAAACGTTATAACGAAGAGGGGTTTAAATGTCTTTTTTATTTAGTACTTAATTTTCTTGGCATGAGCTGCCCAAAAAAGAGTGGACATTTGGCTGCAATTAATACCCCCCACCACCACCGCACTTCCAGTAATAGTTGGTAATTGCTGGCTCTAAATGACAAAGCAATTAAGCCTCTTCCTAAATGTGCAGAAGTAGGTGTTTATCTAAATCTGGGCTGTCAGGCTTTGTTTCTGTGTCAGGGCCCAGAAGCTCAACTGCTGCTTTGTCAAAGAGCAGTTGTTTCTTTACAGGTAGAGGAAGAAAGAAATCTTTCAGGAAAGGAGTCTTAAAAATGTATCATGTTGTGGATGGCTGAAGTGGAAATTGCCCAAGAAAAATATTTCTGTTTTATTACTGTGATAACTGTTTTGATGATTTCAAACGACTTTATTGTTGTTAAAGAGATTATTATTATTTCAATGCTTTAAGGGTTTCCTGCAAGGAGATCAGAATCCTTGCTAGAGAATATGAGGATTTGTGACAGCTGATTCCAGACCCTCTGGTAAACTTGCCTTTTCCGCAGCTGGGGGAGAAAGATCTGGGTGTGTGTAAGGATGTGTGCTAAAAATGATATTTTAAAGTCGTCCCTGGACAGCTGTAGGTCTGTAGGAGCCAGTGTCTGGTGTGAGAATTCACAATTTCATGTCTTCTTAACCTCCTTTTTTAGGAATAGTAGAAAAAGCCTGAGCTATGTGGACAGTACTGCTCTCACCAGCATTGTAGGAGACTTTGGGCTGTTCCTTAAGTCCGTGGGAGCTGCTAAAAATTGCTGTTTTCCCAAAGGTCAGGTGCTGCTGGATTGGGCTTGACTTTGGGGTTGTGCATGTGCGTATTAACAAAATGGTCACTTCTAATTGCATTTTTAAGGCTTTGATTTCCTTCCAAGTATTTTGCTTAATCATCTTGAGTAGGCTGAGGGAAGGAAAGAATTAGCTGAGGTCAGGGAAGTTGAAGCTGCCCGTGTTACTGCTCAGAAGCCAGGCTTAGTGTGAGGGATCCTGGAGGCAGGAAGAGAAATGTGTTCTCTTCCTGCTGCACACTGGGAGAGCAAGGGGAAACCAGCCCTGAGAAAGCCAAGGAAAACAGGGAAACGTGTGGTGCCGTGGGCTGTGGTGGCTGCCTCCCTCTGCACGAGCAGTCCAGATTCCCCTTTCTTTGGGAGACACACACAGCTTGGATGTGAATCATGGCTAAAATAGATAGGAGGATTGTAGTCTGGAAGTGCTTACAGCTTAGATGGAGATGCATGCACCGCAGGCACCAGAGCTGGGGGAGAGCATCCCTGTGGCACAGACCTTTGGAATAAAGGGCAGTTTAATAATTTCTGATGCATATTCACGTGGAGGGATGAATAGCAGAAGAGGAAGGCTGTATTGAACGCTTCTTGAAAAAATACCAGTCATTGCAGTGATCAGAGGAAAAATCCAGCCACTGCCTGTGCTCAGCCATAGGTGTTCCAATTAAAACCTAGACATCACATCCCTTTGGACTTGCAAATACAGTGATTTGTTGGTTTTGTTTTGGGGTTTTTTTCCCCCAAAGAGGATGTTTCTGGCTCTGCCAGAGGCGTGGATGCAGAAGGAGAACCTTCCCTGTAAAACCTAAGGGCTGGGAGAACAGGTCTCCTTGAGGCGTAGCAATGTGTCTTGGGCGTTAACTTTACAAACAATCTCGGGAGGAACACGCTGTTCTTAAATAAGGTCACAGGGATGGGAATTAATAGTAAATAAGCCTTATTGGGGAGAAAATAAAAAATAGTATCATCCCCTAATCTTTTTCCATTGAATTAACCATGTACCTGATGTGCTTAGCTTTGCCCTCATCGTCCCAGCATCAAGCGCAGTCCGGCCGTGACGTCGCGAGTGCCAAAACCACTAATGATGGCATCTAGGGTTTAAGTGCAAAAGCTTCTTAGCAGGAGATTAGGGATCCCACTGCAGATCCTTGCAGTCAGCTCCTAATGCCACCCAGAGAGAAGGCAGCCTGACTCTTGAGTGGAAAATCACAGGCTCGGCCGAGAGGTGAGGGCTTCGATGGGTTCTGTAGAGCAGAAAAAATGTATATGTTTTGGTATGTGGTCCAAATTTTGTTTAAATCTTGAAGGGAAGCTGAGTTTTCAAAAGGAAGAGCAGGGAGACATGCACTGTGTTGATGCCATGTGAATAAAGTCTTTGCATAATTATTCATTAAGTGCCTAATATGAGAGCAAAAATAGCTTTGGCGTTAAGAAACAGGACTTCTCTGTGATCCCTCCTGGCAAGAGGCCCATAACAAAGGTAGGGGACCTGTTCCTTTGTTTCCTGGTACTTCCAGCCCTGAGTGCACTCTGCTGTCTGGAGAAGCGAGACTTGGAACCTTTTAATTCCTTCTCTTTGAGAAGCGTCTGGGCTTCAGTGCTCAGTTGCTTTATTTAGCTCAAAGCGATGGTTTTGGCTAGAAGACACTTAGAAATCCAGGATGGCAGGAAAGGTACCTCTTAGAGAATCCTTTCTATGAGAGGGAAGTGGTTTTCAATGCTGTAGCTTCATTTCTTCCATGGTTGTGGGATGTTCTCTGTAGATGTCCAGAAATTATAGTTTTTATACCTGGGAAAAAATATGAGAACCTCATCAAACAGTTTAAAAATCAAGAATAATTAAGACATATCTCCAGCAGATCTTGGCTCTAAGGGCATTCACGTGTTTATTATCTTTCATCCATTTGAGAGCATAGCTTTTCTGGCGTGATAAGATGTGAAAGAAAGGCACTGTCTCCTCCTGAAAGTGAATTCCCAAGAATGCCCGGCCCCAGGTCCCTGTGGACAAACAGTGCCGAGCTGGGCTGAGTGAGATGCAGAGTGTCCTACTTACCATGGCTGCTACAGGTCTGACCTCCTCGGATCATCTGACACCTGGTTGGGTAAGAGGTTGCTGCAAGATCTCAAACCCTCAAATTATGTAAGATTTACACACTTGCTTTGAAGTTGGTCCCTCCCTTCCATGTTTGTTTACTGGCTGGTGTGTCCTGTTGGATTGTGAAGGATGAATAGTCACAGAAAGGAAGCTGTCGGGTTAGTACAGATTTTCTGTTCCTCTTTGTTTTCTAAATGCGCGCGGAGCCATGCTTATCCCTGTTCCGGAGTCTGGGAATACGCCAAGGAGGTCCTGCGCTGGTCAAGGCTTTACTGGGTGAAATTTGCAGTTTATTTCTTTGTTTTTGAGCTGGAGAGAGGGAGGAAAGGCTCATTGTGTTGCTAGAGGAGAAACAGAGATGGTATCTAACAGCTGTCTCGGGAGTTGATGTTGGGTTTGCTTTTTAACATGCAGTTTCCCTCGAACTCAGAGAAATCACGAAGAAAGGAAGGTGCTTAATTAACATTGTACGTGTGGCTGCCATGGTTTGGGGCTTTGAAAGCACTGGCTCCCGTAAGGGAAGCACACAGGCTTTGCCTGTGGGAATTCCTCAGAGGACTTTTCTTCCGACCTCTCCACTGTGCCAGCGGAATTGCCTCGCGCTGCTCCTCCTTTCCCAGCCGCTGCCATGCAGGGTGGAGACCAGGGCTGTAGAGGCACTCGGTCCAGGGAGGTGTAAGGCATTTTCTTCTGGATTTTCCCCTACTTACGCATTTTTCTTCAAACAAATTAAGTTCTCACCTGTGCTTATTTCTGGTAAGTGCGATGCAACTGGCCCAGGCTTTTGGGAAAGAGAATCCCTGGGCTTCTGACCATGTGTGGAGGTGTAATCGCTAAATCCTAACAAATTCCCTGGAATTAAGTTACAGCAAGGTGCTTTCTCAGAAGTTACTCTTAAGTGGCAAACACTGTCATGTGATACAGGTTTTGCTGGGTTGGTTTTGGGATTGTTTTTCTCTGAAATTTACTTTTTAAACCTGGCATTACTCTCCATAATTGTTCAACAAAGTAAAACTGCATTTTCTCCCCCAGCTTATTGCACACCCAGAATAGGTGCTGTGGCACTTTACCTATTTCATGCAGACATTTTCTTTTTGG